AGTGAAAATTATGTTCAAGCTTCCTGCTTCGTCATCAGGTCTATGTTCACCCCCTTGTGGTATTCAAGTAGAGTGCTTCAACCATTTAGAGGCTGAAGCACTCCACTTGAATACCACAAGGTGGTGAACAAAGAGCTGATGACGACGCAGGAAGCTTGAACATAATTTTCACACCCTGCGCCTCAAAATGACTAAAACCTCTTCCACCGCGTTTTCAATTTTTAAACAAATTCTAATTAAAGGTTGCTTTATTTATCTGTACAAGAGCGTAATTGATGTTTGCATTCGTGGTATTTTTATTAATTATTTTCGAATACCGTGCTAAAGAAACTCACAAGAACGCTCTAGCCAAACACAGGAACTAATACCTTGCCTGTCAAGAATACTGTCACTCTCGAAACATATCGTAACGCAAGGGCGCTATAAGTTACGCTGAGGTGCTTTGCAGAAAAAGTATTTTCGAATGCTTAATCTTTTGTAAACAGATATGAATCGCGTCGGTAGATGAAACAGTTGCCTATAAATAACCAACTTGAGACTGAACAATATTTTACTGGGAATACCCTGGAGTATGTGCCAAAGTTTGCTTTAACTACTCCAAATGAAAACAAAAAAATTACTCTATTATTACTATTTTACTTTCCAAAGAAATACTAGTTTCGTGACACTACTAATGCTTGAGACCCACAAAAGCAAAATACAGCAACATGCCAAACACACAAGCCTCGAGTAAGATCAGCATGCACGCGAAAGTAGGGAGTTTCTTAATACGGGACCTCAACGGTTAGGAGCTTCTGAGCAACCTGGGGTTTCGCACTGAGCATAAGTAAAACTACTACGCATGCGGAGTATGATGAACCAAGCTGCTTGGGTGACCCAAACCCTTGGTGCAGTCTATTATAAAACTATCTAGTATATTCGCAGGTTTCCAGCCTCTCGTGCTTACCTCACGAGCGTCAACAGGGTGCAAGTCTTCCAAAGACGTATTTCGCGTCTAGGCTGTACCTGATAGAGACGTGTTGGTGTCCGTTGTTGCTGCTTGTCATTGCGACTACATCATATCAACGCTCGAAATTTTCGCAACAACCCCGCGTCCGCCCTCAATGCATCTCTAAGTCGACCATCACGGCAAGCACTTCCAATGACGTTGGACACTTGAGTTATCCTGGCCGTGTAGAAACACCACCTTCGAGGCAGCCACGGTCGCCGTGACAAGGGGGTCTGGATTGCGAGGATGCTGTGCCTTGGCGTGCTTTTTGTTAGGTTATACGCAGAGGTGCATCTACGGACACTGTGCTTACTTCCTTCAAGGTACCTGCACCCCCCAACTACGGATATGAATGCAATTGCTTTAATTATACTAATTCTTCGCAGCAGCTGCTGAGACGAATTAGTAATTAAAGTGTTCTACCCGTGCTCTACCTCTTCCGAGTTCTACCTCCTCCGTGTCCATCATTATACTTTATACATTTGAGAGCATCAACAGGTCACGTGAATAACGATAACCAGAATATGTGCTTGCAGACTTTCTTAATGGTCTAACATAAAGCTTATTATAAGTTGTAAACGTAAAAATCTTGTTGCTTACGTAATTTCTGCCCAGCTATACGTAACCGACAAGATAAATTACTTGTGAGCTTACCACTTTTGCACGAAAGCGGAGACGCACCCGTAAAACAAAACAAAAAATAATGATGTGCTGATTATTACGCAGTTTGATCGAAGCGATGAATGCTTACTTTTCGGCTCGCAAAAATCAACTACGCATTGCAGAAAGCCGAGACTCTTTGAGGATGTGCCGTTAGAGGTGGTAATAAAATGCGAAATTTGGAACACATGACGGTTCCTCGATCAAAAAAGTACAAAATAGGAACCAAATTTCTTTATGTGCCGGCGACCATCTCAGCCTAGTTATACACAAAATTAACTTTGACTTTATGGGCGCCTGTAGCATTTATTTCAGTAAACAACACTTCTCAGCAAAAGAATAAAACAATGTCATCTCTCTTTCTGAAAAGATGTTTCACCTTGGCAATGGATCTCTGGCTTTTGGTGTCCCTGATACTACCGGCTAGGGATGTGCAAATAGCAGTTCAAATTTCATAACACTGCGTATTTCGTCAACACCCTAATGCATGGAAAAGCCAAGACATACAAACTCCCTCTGCAGTGTAGAAGGTAGAAATGACGCAGCGCTATTTTATTTAGGAACTATTCAGACACCACTACTACTGATTCCCATCCAACTACCAGATAAAAAATGTAGGGGAAAGAGAATCTGTACAAACCATATGGCTTGCTTTATTTTAAGGCAACTGTCCTTTGTGAGTATAAAAAACCACCTCTTCTAGGACGTAAAGCAATTTTCATGCTTATTTATGTGTTACCTGAAAAATACACCCAGGAACCCTAGGTAGGGGCTCTGTGATAAGGAACAGGAACGTGATATGATAAGGATAAGGAACAAAACGTGGATAATACACTCATGCATGTAAATGTGTGGTCCACTTTCTTGCTCCCATAAGTCTCGGGTGCACAAGATGTTGGAAGTTCATTCGCTCGCCTGCTTGTTCTCAGTTATTTGAATCACCCGCTTCATGCCTGGAATGTAGGTCGCTACATCCACAAAAGCACAAAATAAAACAACGTTTCCCATGGTTTTATTTTTGTACTTCTTGTTCTGGTCGCTTTCAAGAATGCAGCAGACAACGCAGGTTCGGAGCCAAACACACATGTCCACATCCGACAAGTCTCAAAAATATTGAAAAACACATTGAGCTTTTTGAACGACATGACTGAAAAACTGCAGGCTCTTCAGGATGCTCTTGTTGCCAGTTCCATTCAGCCAATAGGAATCCCTCCCGATCTGATAGGATAGGGGCCGGTGCGACGAGTAGGTTTGGTCGCACGACCACCAGCGCGTTGGAAGTTACGTCCGGGGTTACGTCCGGGGGGTCGTGGCTGTCCTTCTGTCGAGGTGATGCAGATGGCGACGACCAGCACTACGGCCAACAGCAGAACCTAGACTCAAAAATATTTGAACCGAATTTGGCTCGGATCTTTCTAAGCACTTGTCAAATTTTTCTTTGTTTTTAGATTTATTCGCTCTATAGTCCCACATAATCACAAATAACTCAGGAAAGGCAGGGTGTCGTGTCGAGTCCCGCTCATCTTATTATTTCTCCAGACCCTGCGAGATTGTAGCATGAGAATGTCGAAGATCTAATCGCAAAGCGAAAAGAGTGAACGTAATCCTTGCGTTTTCTCTTTTTTTTCAGCTGTCGGTGATTTTACAATTAAGTATGCGCTTTCATGGAGGCCATTTGTAAAATTTAATATACTATGTCTCTTTCTTAAGGTCTAAAATAATCAAGGATTCTTTTGGTTTTCTAATAGTATAGTATTGCGTTTGGTGGTGCACCAAAACTAGGTAACAGAAAAAAATAGGCGTATTGTTTACACGATATCTGAAGAAACTTTTGAGTTATAGCTGCATCTCGGTTTTTGATTTCACTATACTCATTCAGACATTCAGAAACGCAGCATGTGTCTAATTATTTTCACGCGTTTTTTTTTCGTGATTTGTTCTCTGGCGTCTCATTGGCAAATTCCGCAAAGTCATTGGTTTTGGAGCGATACTCATTAACTCGGAACTCGCCACTCGCTGCGTTTCTTAAGCTTTCAGTGACAATCGGAACTCAGATAACGGGAGAGATCTATAAAAAACGGATGTCTTGAACTTAATATGACAACAGTAAAACACAAATGCATTATAGATTCTGGTAAATAAAACATTAAACAGAACCACCTGGACCTCTGGTCACTGACAGCTTAAGAAACTGAAGGCATGGCGAGTTTTACCTGGGTCAGACGTGCACATATAAAGGCCTTCAGAAGGAGCTCCTTTAAAGAATCGGCGAATTCGCTCGCGATGTTGTGCTTATCGGCGTGCGATGGTTCGCCGACCCTTCGTTCTGAAGACTTTTAACGTGCCCCTCCGACCCACGTATGATTGTCACTCCATCCCCAAAAAGGTTGAATCATTTTAAAGTTTTAGGAACATTTTGTTTTACATCCGATACGGTGCGATAGGCCCTAAGCTACGAACTGCGCATGTGCGGATCTTCAGCGGTAATGCTTGCGCAATTTGTACCGGAGGGTTCATCGTACCATATCGGATTTGTAAAACGGTTCCCTAAAACTCCCTATTAGCCGATGAGAACGCCAATGTATATATCACGAATCACCAAGCGTAAACATAATAAGACACCTTCTGCGTTTTTTAAGGACGAAAACCCCTTTCTTATTTCTTTCTTTTTTTCTTCAATTTGTGAACGACTTCAAATTTCGAGCAGATTTACTTCTCTCTACAAGAAGGTAATCGTCTCTGCACTTATGTTAAATTCTTTTTTTTTTTTTTTTTGTAAACACAATACAAGGAATTCTGAGCTCTCAAGCCAACCAAAGTTGAAAGATTAAATATTTGCCTACAAATGACGAACTGGAAACGAAACATCATTCTACGGGGCAGTCTCTAGAATATGTATCAAGCTTTTCTCGTACAGCACCATCAAAAACCATCAAATATTTAACAACATCACGATTAAAAAAAAATATATATATATACATATTTAATTCTGTGCAGGACTACTAATTGTGGAGTCCCATTGGAGCACCAAACAGCAACAGCCGAAACCAAAGTAGGAGCAGCAAGCAAGTTAAAGTACCTCTTCAGGCTTCTCATCCCTCGTACTTTCCACACGAAGGCCGAGAGACTGCAAGTCTCTACCTTCGCGTGCGTGTTGCTCCTCGAAGAGAATTGTGACTCTCGGTGCTTTTTGTTGGTCGCTCTAGTGTGACTAGTTCATAACAACAAACAAACATCTCACAATTGATCTGCGTTCGCCCTCGATACATCTTTAAGCCGACCATCAGAGCAAGCATTTGCCAATGAGCAAGGGCCTTATGTATTAGGGCATCCTCGCCATGTAGATACTCACCATCTTCGAGACAGCCATCGTCGTTGTGTCAGTAGGGGTACGGATTGCGAAGACACTGAGTCGGCCCGCTTTCCGTTAGCTTATATACAGCGGTACCCCTGCGGACACCGCGCTCTCTTCCGTCGGGGTCCTGACACCTCATCACCAGATGTGTTGATAAAAAGCCACCTAAAAATGAGCCCGTGACTGCACGCAGATGCTTGCTTTCGGAAGGGCGCTCAAATAAAAAAAAGTTTTTGGCGCTGTCTCCCGATGTGCCCTCGCTCCTCCGGGTTTTTTTTTTTTTTTTTGTGATAAATTTGCGAGAGTCTCCAGGGCGCCTGGACAACAACAACAAGAAAAAGTAGCTGCCGAAATCTCCAAGGCTCCATATATTAAAGCTCGCTATTTGTATTAAACTTAAACATCTTGTTTCTTGCACAATTCCTAACTCAGCTCGACCTCAACCATTACCATTGAAAATCTGGTCACGCAAACCTTTCTGTGTGGTAACTATACGCCACAGACAAGATAAATTACTAGAAGCAAAACTGCGCAGGCGAGTTGGTTAAAAAACATCATAATCGTAACCTTGAGAGACGAAGCAAAAAATATTACTTGACAGCCTATTTCCTCTTCACTAAAAGCCCCGTACTTTGCTGCGCTTAGATTTATAAAATTTATATTATTCCTCGGAGAGTATAATGTTGAGTAAGATGCAAGACATTCTCGAGCCTAATCTGGTGTTTTTCCACGCTAACGCGGGTATTTTCGGTCTATTTGTTGATACTACTTTTGAACTGTTATTAAGGTCAGCCCTGGTAAAACCTAGCAGGTTGTCTGAGTTTCACCCAACTTGCTGGACAGCATCTGGCATCCTCATCTTTTGTAGAATTTTCGGAGGAAGAAAACTTTTCTCTTCGTGCATTTGTTTGCCTTTGACATGTGCCACCAATGGGTTGTTGGTGAGTAAGGCTCGAAGTTCTATTTTCGAACTAGCACCGGAGCAAGGGACCACGTCTGGTTCCACGGTCGTGAAGAAGTTGCAATTTTTAGATCTACATTTGTTAAATGGTAAAGGTTTGTGCTGGTCGTATGGAAAAAAACTAAAAAAAGGGGGTTTTATCTAGGCACAGTAGCCGTTTAAAACTCGTCAAAATAGTTGTCGTAACGTCCCTTATTCTATTTTTAAGCATTACCTTTAAGTTTAGGTAATGCTTTGAGAAAGTTGTACATTCATTGTGTCCGCAGTGCGCTCATGAAACAGTTGGAGTGGTCGAGGTAAGGTTTTTATAGGTTTTTGAGACAACGTCTCAAAAAGGGATAGACGTTGTCTGTCCCATTTGTTTCTTTTTTCTTCACGAGTTTCAGCTTTTCAAACCACAGACTTGGGTATCAATCATCACGTATAAACATTCTGTACATGCTTTTTTGGGGAACCATCTATGAAATGCACTATATATTTTTAATACGTTCTAATAAAACAACTAACGATATATTTATTGTCGGATGGTAGTCCAGCGTTTTTGAGCATACCAAAACTTAATCAACGCAAAAGCTTTTTTTTTTAACACGAAATTATAAGGACTTTCACTTTGTAAGAACCTTTCAGCTTTCTTTTAACTATATACATTCAAAGAAGAGAAGCGGGGTGTAACTTCTCATGGTCGCGCTTCTTGCCACTTGACTTGTTTCTTGTCTTCGGCGATACCACAGTGTCATTGTTGGCGGAGGGATACTCCACGCCCGAATGTCTTAGGCTTTCAGTGACAATTAATAGCAACTTCAAGTAACTGCAGAGGGCTATAAATACGTCATAAATTGTATGTTGTAAAAAACAAAAACAAAGGCTACATTGTGGGTCGCCTGTCAATTCCCGATCAGGCCGAGTTCTACTCGCTCCAAGGAAGTCACACAAGGAGCGCTATGATAGACAAACACTTTATCGATACTTAAGTTGTGCTGCGGGGGCCAAAGCTGCCTTGTGGTCAGGGTCTTCCCTGGAGCACCAGGTTCAGTGGCCGTGTGAGTCCAGCGCACCCTGGAATGAACTGCCGATAAAAACCGACCATTCCAAGAAACCTTTGAAGGCTCTTCGCGTCGCGCGGTGGTGGGTAATCAAGAATGGCCCTCAACTTATCCTCGTTCGGCCTCAAGGTACCATCATCTACAACGAAACCCAAGAGGTTGACCCTTGAGGCTGCGAGCTGGACCTTCTTTGGATTAATCGTTAACCCCGCTTTGCTCATTCTGCTTAAGATAATCTCAAGGTGCGCTAGGTGCTCCTCGAATGACTTTGAAAATACGACGACATCATCCATGTATGCCATGGCAAAGTTGAACTTCGCGTCCCCCAGCACGATGTCCATAAGCCGTTGGAAACTCGATGGCGAGTTCGACAATCCGAACGGAAGGCGGATAAACTCAAACAGACCCCTGTGACAGGTGAACGCCGTCTTCTGGACATCGTGTGGTGCTACCAGGATCTGCAAAAAACCTCTGCTACAATCCAAGGTAGTGAAAACCCTCGCGCTACCCAACGAGTACATGATGGATTCAATAGATGGGAAGGGATATGAATCCCTTCGTGTCATCCCGTTAAGTCGGCGGTAGTCAACGCAGAGGCGAGCGGTACCGTCTTTTTTGGCGCTAAGACTTCCGGAAAAGCCCAGGGGCTCTGTGACGGCCTTATGGCCCCTGTGTCTATCATCTCATCGAGAGCCTTGTCTAGGAGAGCTCGCTTGTGCGCACTCAGCGGTCTGGGATTACAACCCCATGGTCTAGCATCTCCTGTGTCGATTCTGTGTTGTAAAATGTTTGTAAGTCCCGGCCTCTCGGTAAACATAGCTGCGTGTCGATGCAAGGCGTCTGCTAACCTACGCCGTTGTTCTACCGGCCCGTTGTAAGAAGCGACAATCGCTTCAACGTTTCCCGATACAACTCGCGCAGCTAATCTTTGCTCCTCTCGTGATCCGACGCGTGAGCTTTCTGTGTCCTGACCGAAACTCGGTGGGACGGCAAAGGGGATAAGGGGAGTCAACGGATTATAGTGGTACCCGTTATTCTTCAAGTCAATGATAATCCCCTCCCGGCAGACGAAGTCCTGTCCTAAGATCACAGGGATTTGCATGCCTGGCGGATAGAGAAAATGCTGCCTCCTTCGACTGCCGTCGAGGCTAAGGTGAAGGCGTATAGCGCTTTGTGCCCTAGCCGATCCTGCTGCTAAACGCGGCGCGGTGGAAACTTCCCGCACGTGAAGTGCTCGTCGGCGACAGTCTTCGTAGACTCTGTCGCCGATTAGGGAAAGAGTCGAACCGGTGTCAATTAGTGCGTAGTAAATGTTACCACCGATCTCGACGCGCACATACGTCCCCTTCTCAGATGTCAAACCCTGAGTTCGACATGCCGACGGGGTAAACACCGACCTGTCGCTGACCGCAACTCCAGCCCCGTTGGCAGACTGATGAGGGGCCCCGGCAGTGGCCGAAAACCGCGAGTCGGGAGGTCCAATTAGTGGCGCCGGCCTCTCCCGTTTCCCTGAGACCCATGGGGGGGGACCTGCCGTCCATGTGCACTGACGCTTGATATGCCCAAGCTGATTGCATTTATAGCACCTGACCTGTCTCCTGCCATTGTGTGCTGAGCGTCGGCCGCTACCATCACGCGAAGTAGTGTCACGCCGGGGGTCATTGTAGTTCCCGCGACCCTCGTAAGGATTCGCGACTCCGCGGTGGTCGGCTGCGCCGCCTCCCCTACGGGGACGCGCCCTGGAAGAGCCCGCGTTAGCTGCTCTGCGCTTCTGTTCAAAAGCGAAGGGATCTAAGGTGAGGGGGAAAGCAGTTGCGCCACTCCTATGTCCTGTAGAGGCCACGTACGGGGTACGTGAGTCATCGCAAGCTCCCGCGCCTCGTCCTGTCCAGGCGCAACCCGGCTCCGGAGATTCCTCTGCGCGTGGAGGGGGGCGATACGTCAACTCGGCGAGCAAGCTCGCCTGAACGATGCGCGCCTCTCTAGCAAGTGCTTCCAGACCAGCGAATTCCGGTCCGCGCAAGTAGGGTTTAAATCTAGGGTGACACTGGCGGATCGCCCTAGCTACCTTCTCTGCGTCTGACGCTGTAGGGTCGGCTCTGGAGTGGAGCTCCTGGAGAGCGCGGATGTATTCTACGAGGCAGGGTTGGGCAGAAATACTCAAAAATGTATTTGGAAATACAAATACTGGGATACATTAAAATAGTAGCTAAAATACTGATACTAAGATACATCTGTAAAAATGTATCGCGATACGTATCGGAAATACATTTTAAAAAGAGGCAAGAATTATTTGGAAATACAAATACAGGAATACAACTTAGGGAGGGCAGAAATACAAATACAAAAATACTTTTGTGCAATACACTTTCCAAACTTTCTGAGACGCCAACTGAGATGAAGCTTGAACTTTGAAGTGGATGTTTTCGATCCCGAAATTACTTTCCTGAAGGCTTGGCACTTTGCCTTAAAGGTAGTGGTTTCGGATGACAAGTAGTCTTCAATGGGCCCCAAAAAACGTTCCATCAAGGGCTGCCCGCGGTCCCTTCCATGACATCTTGTCTGTTTGACGAGGGAATCCTATCAACATTAGTAACATGGTGCCACGGTGGAATGAACTAATATTCTTTATCTGTAGGTGTGGCCTTGAACATGAAACTTTACCACGCTGCTGTATGAAAGGACAATACGTGCTTTCGTTGTAGGTTACCTAGTTGAAGATCGTGCGTACAGTGTCATTTGGAATTTTTGAGAATAGTGGACCACCTGAAGCATCATGGAATACATGTCTTATCTTCTGTCACGGTTGAAAAAACGATACGGTAGCATTCCTGTTCTGAAGGTCCTTACTACCGACCCTCCGCCACTGACGCACGGATTGCAGTCCTCAAGTTTTGCCTAGCATTATATAAACAAAGACCTCGTGGATTGCGAGCTGATATGGCCGGCACAGGTGCGAGCTGTCCGAGAAACAGCGGTCTCGAGACTAGTCGCGGGAGTACGTAGTCTGGGATTGGACAGCGAGGCCACTTCTGGCCTCCTTCTGGGTTTCGGATCACCAGAGCAGCGGGTCATGTTCACGTCGGCTGATGACGTACCCTTGAGCTGTGCAATGTTACGGGCGCAGCCG